AGAAGAAGAAGAAGAAGAAGAAGAAGAAACACAGTCATAACATCAATATCAAGAACAATAATATTAACAATAGAATTGATTTGAGTAAAATAATTAAATAATATTAAAATAATAAATGCGGTAATATTATTATAATTTAAAATTGCTAAAAGGACACTACTTGGAATCCGCTGATTGTATGGAATCAGATACCTTGTAGGAATACGTTAAATTAGATAATTCAATCCATACAATTTGAGGTTATGTCTTCAGATCACCATCCTTTTTTTTCAAGTGGAAAGCAGATGTCTATTCTCATTTTGTGTTTGATCATTCTATTGAGTTACATCTATAAGATCAATCTCCTCGTGGTCTAAGGAGTGGAAATATGATGTATAAACTCAACTATTGCATTATTTTTCTTTTTGTAGACGGTTTCGGGGATGACGTTTAAATAAATGACTAAACCCTCACCTTAGTAGACGGATCGAAAACAAAATATTGAAAAAAAAGAAAGAAAAACTACAACAATATTATGTTGCTCACCTGATCAGGGTGGTAGTAATACAGCAGGATTTGCCAGGAGCCAAACAGGCAGAAGGTCACCAGGAACACGAGATCGCAGAAGGAGAGAAGCACAAATAGCGATGGCGTCATCGTTGACTTCCCCGATCTCCTCAGGAACAGTACCACCAAATTGATGACGTTGAACACGATTCCCATGCTGCCGACAATAGTTCCGAACACACCAACTATGTACATCTCAGTTCTGTCAATGTCGTAATAAAACTTGCATGCAGGCCCTTCGTTCTCATAAGGGTATGCCGATTGAGGTACAAAGTTTGCTTCCAGTTTTGGCACAAACGACTTTCGAATTTTGAGCCTATTGTTTGCTGTCTGCGAGGTGTTCTTCATTTTTAGTTCTGTTTTTGAACTTAGAAGCAGGCTTCTCCGTATAAAACAGGAATTGCTGCTTTGAAAATGAGAGAACTGAACGGAAATCAAACCGCTCCCAACAATGTTTAGGGCACATACAGTAGAATCAGCTTAAACCGAAATTTCTGGACTGCCGGATTTTCTTCGATTTGGCAGGGTTTTCGATTCTGAGCGGATGCTTCAAAAAAGAAGATAAAATCATCCAATGATATTCATCTCTCTCGATTTACCGCTGTTTTCGGATTTAAAAATGTTCGGTTTAAACCAACTCTACAGTAAAGTATTATTGCGTAGATATAATATGTAAAGTTAGACAGAGCTCAGCTTTAGAAAACTATACAATATAACACCAAAAGTCTTTGGGAGATCAAACTTAGTGATTATAATAACTGCTAGATCTACTGCAGTTGCTGTTGCAATTTGATTGTCAATAAGAATAAAAAGGAATAGAAACAGACTGACCGACAGGCATCGCCAAAAAAAAAGAAAAAAAAAAAAGAAAAGAAAAGAAAAAGAAGAAAAAAAAAGAGTCATTAACTAAAGCCAGCGTGACCTTAATGAAATCGTGTAAATAGATCTAGATCTAACTTAAATCCCAACGCCTGCGTGGAGACCAATCCTCAGCAATTGCAGTCAACGTGGACGTAGATTAGTTGGAAAAAACTGCCTAGGTCAAGCTGGGCTCTACTAGATTTTACGACTGTGTAAACAACATGCCACTTCATGAACGTTTCACGCCGACAAGAGTTTAGCTGTTTAGCACAGACAATGCTTTACTGAAAGTGAAAGATTAACCAAAGTACCGGCACTAGCGTGGAGTCTTGTCCTCAATTATGTCGTTCACGGAGAACGAAGCTTAATTAGAGCAAAGTGCTAACTTCAAACTGTGTACCACTACATGAGTCATATATTGAGTAAACTGCTCCACAGCTGTTCAAAACACCACACACACACACACACACACACACACACACACACACACAC